GTCTCTTCCATCAGCCCGTTTATCCATGTGTGCATTCAGCTGATCCATTCATCCTTCCATCCATCAAGGAAGGGTCTGTGAATGATTTGTAATTGTTTTCTCCATTTCTCCTTTTGCTCTCTCTTTTCCCTACTTATGCATAGATGTGTGGAGATGATCATCAAGGAACAGCTGAGAAAGTACAAGATGAAGATGGATGAAATTTGCCAACTAGAAGCAGCGGAAAGCATTGCTCTTCGGCGGCTTTCACTGCTTCGACAGAACAAAGTAAGCACTGGGATTACACCTGGCATGAAATGCGATGAAGATTTCACAACAGGAGTGTGACTTTTCCATTAATCTCACACAGCAAGGCTGATATGTAATGAGCGACTGCATGCTAAATGCCAAAGGACATATTTTTGTGCGAGTGGAAGTTAGGAAGGAAAAAAAAGACTTTATTTAAAGCAGTTCTGATATAATCTCCAAATATAATTCAGTAAATGATTATAAAGTTGGGCTGTGTCCAGTCACAAGAAATTCTGTTCTAGTCTCCCGATTGTCCCACTGCATCTGGGGTGCAGAGGTCATTTGCACTAAGTCCAGTTCAGCACATACATTTTGGGAGACGTTCTGGATGGATGAGTCAAAATGATTGAAGTCTGGAAAACAGTCCTGTGAGAGGTAGTTGAAAAACTAGTAAGTTAACTTAAGTGGAGAGAAAAAGTGGAGAGACATGGTTGGTCTTCATGTATTGCACCTAATAGAAGCAGACCTGTCTCTGTTGTTCTAGAACTTAACCAAAGAAATAATTAACGTCCGGATTTGATAGTAGCACGGAACTGTCTCAGGAAGTGGTGTCCCCTCCTTTATTGGAAGAACAAACAGACCCTGTTAGAAAGACTGATGGAAGAGCTTCTGCCTTGCATTCCTTTTTGGGTTTTTTTTTATTTTGGTTCAATGAGTTTAGTCCCAATCCTTGACAATTTTGGTTAACTTTAATAGGTCAAAGATGACACTGGATTTGTTTTATTTTTATTTTTTTTAAAATTTGATTTATATGCCGCCCTTCTCCGGAGACTCAGGGCGGCTTACAATGCGTTAAGCAATAGCCTTCATACTTTTGTATATTTATATATAGTCAGATTATTGCCCCCATAATCTGGGTCCTCATTTTACCTACCTTAGAAAGGATGGAAGGCTGAGTCAACCTTGAGCCTGGTGAGATTTGAACTTGCAGTAATTGCAGGCAGCAGATGTAAGTGGATGTTAGTCTGCTGAGCCACCAGAGTTTTAGGTTATTAATGCAGTGCCCCTCTTTTGATAAGTTACTGGATGACAAATTATCTAGCCCATTTCCATTTGGGTTTATACTGGGGGTTTAGCGCTGAAGCCACTTTGGTCATCGTGATAAATGCCTCTTTTGAGGAGAAAGATACAGGCGCAGCCCTGTTGATTCTCTTTTAGCAGCTTTTGGTAATGCGGGACATGCTATAACAACATTGGGAGCCTGATATTTATATTTTGTTTCCTTTATGTTTAGTGGTTGGTTTAAAATGTGGGTATATTCTTAAAAAGAAATGCTGAGCAGTGAAATTACACTAATCATCCATTTCCTGATCTAAGAATCCCAAAAACCCTGCTGGGTAGACATTGTTGTTCTTGCTGCTTAATTCATCTGTTTGATGATGGAGGATTGTGGAAGACTGGCTCAAGCAATCTCAAAAGTAATCCCAGCTATAATTCAATAGAATTCAATAAATTTAATATATTAGTTTTAGAATCTTGCAAATGTATTAGCATTGCTTAAACCATGTGTGCAGCATTTTTAGTTTTTAGCTTTGATATATACTATATATTGTTATTATCATCTAAGTCTTTGATTTTTATCCATGGAGAGAGAAAATGTTTTGGCCTCCTATGAATGTGCCCTTCATCTCTCCTTTTCTCTAGTTGTGGCCAGTAAAACTTGCCTTTTCCTCTCCCCGCGAGGGAGCCCGGGTAGGTGAAAGCACTGATGTGCCCCCAGTGCATGGAACGTTGCTCCTTTCCTCACTCTGCCTCTCCCAGCATCAGCTGAAGATCAGAGAAGGCTGTTCACAGCACCTTCATATGCTGAATGCTTCAAAACCCCACTTTAATACTCTGCATGTTTTACACCTGTGCACATTTTTCCTGTTTTCCCAATTAATTACGGGGATTGAATAGTGGATTGCAAGAGAGATTAACCAATGCTTCATAGAAAAATAAAAAGATACCCCTGCATCCAAGTGTGGCCTTGGATGCTTAACCCTTTGAATTTATTTACACTAACCCAGGTGTGTGTGTGTGAGAGAGAGAGAGGGAGTGAGAATCTGGTGGTTGGCTTTTGTCAAAGGAAGACATTTCTGTGCACATGCTCGGGAGCAGCCTTAATACTATTTTATAATATCCCAAGGCACAGTAAATTTTAATTTCAGGCCTCAAATTTATATCTTTGGGAGAGAGGAGTGTGTAAAACGGTACCTGCTTTTCTGCATTGGGATTCAATACCAATTCTTGTTGTTTTATATTCATCGTAGCCCTGAAAGTTGGACTCAGTACTAGGAAAGGACAGTTGCTCTAAAGCAACTGTCGGCAGGTATCTCATGCTTAGGCTTCCTGTATTCAGAACTACTCCACTTCATTATTTTCCTGGCTTGTTAAATTATAATTTCAAGCCTGGAAAGCTAAATTGTCCAGGCAGAGCAGAGGCTGCTTCACGATCTATTGCCGTTCACAAGAGAATTAACTTGTGGGATTTAATGGCTCCTGTCTATCCAGGATTGATGATTTGCTGTATCCTTAGCCAAGGGGATGATACAGCTCTCTTTCTAACCTGCAGAGCAAGAGCCCCCAGACTATAGGAGCGAGTGGTACCTCACCTAAACTTGGACTTTTGCCTGAAGAGGAAGAAACAGACAACAGGGAGAAGGAGCTGTTGATGGAACGGATACAATCAATAAAGGAAGAGAAGTGAGTGATGGCTTGTAAGGGCCTACCTTCTGCAAAACAGAAGCTACTGTCTCTGTATTCATCTGCCAGCTCTGAGAATCTCTACCAAGAAGAGTTGTGCTTTAGTTTCCCAGCAGAATCAGTTCCTGTGAAGTATTTAAAAAATAGAGCCTGCCTTGCAAAAAGCATGAGAGAATTGTTAGCATTTTCAAATCTATTTTGAAATGAGCCATGGTGGTGCATTGGTTAGAGTGCAGTACCGCAGGCTATTTCTGCTGACTGACAGCTGCCTGCAATTTGGCAGTTCGATTCTCACCAGCTCAAGGCTGACTCAGCCTTCCATCCTTCCGAGGTGGGTAAATGAGGACCCAAATTTTGGGGGGCAATAGGCTGATTCTGTAAACTGCTTGGAGACAGCTGTAAAGCACTGTGAAGCGGTTTTATAAGTTTTATCTTGCTATTTTCATTACCCCCGTCTTTGAAATTGTTCCAGTCCTCCCATGGAATGTTGTAGCTTGTCTTTCTTTCTCGCTTCTTTAGGGAAGACATAACATATCGTCTCCCTGAGTTGGACCAGCGTTGTTCTGATGAGGAGAATGTCGATTCTGAGACGTCGGTTAGCACAGAAAGCTTATTGGAGGAGCGTGTGGGGTGCCGTGACCCTGAAGGTCAGTATTAAGGTATTGTGCAGTTTTTTCCCCCTCTCCAATCATTCCTTTGGTGGCCTTGTTGGTCATCCCGGCACCAATCTTTTCTGCAACTTTCTACTGCAACAGCAAAAAATCCCTTTTGCAACAGGTTTCTTACTCAAGCTCTCTTCTCCTCTTCAAAGGAAGCAAAGAGCCTGCTGCTCAGTGCATCAGCCTCTCCGCCAAAGAAGAGACTGGATCACCGAAGACGCTGCCGTTTTCAGCCAAGGTAGATCCGGCTCCTCCTCACCTGTCCACCACATGTGGGCCATCCTCTTTGCTTCTGCTCAAAGGAAGCCCTCTTCATCCAGCTCCAGGGGATGCACATAGCCAAGCCCAAGCTGTCTTCCCGGACTGAGAAGCTAACAGACCCACTCCCTCCCTGCTCCAAGACCTGCCTCTCTCAAGGATGAACTGCTCACGGGAATGTACCAAGAAGAGTCATCTCAAAAGTAAACAGGAGAGGCAGGCTCAGTGAAGGTCAACAAGGGGTAACTAGCAGTCCTGTTTCGAGAGCTGTTAGATAACACTGCCCTATTTCCGAACCTGGTCAAATCCAGTATTTAAAAGTTCTGCTGCTCATCAAAACAGAATGGTCATGATTTGCACCAGGGCTTTTGGTCGGTATTGAATCTGGGAAACAATTGGTGCTTCTCCGATCTGATCAAATGTTGATCAATAGTTACAACTCTGAACCAATCTCCACTTTCAGAGAAAGTTCCCTTCTCTGCCCAGCAGTCCACTCAAGCCTGGCTTTCTTCTTGTCTGCTTGCAACAGGCTCTTAATAGGACCAAACGGAGAGTCAAAGCACTCAAGAACTCGTTTCTGCTTTAAGTCTTTTTCTCTCTCTCTCTCTCGGATGATGACAACTTCCAATTGGTTTACAAGAACTTTTTAAATTTGTGTAGTAACCGTTTAATGGAGACCAAAAAATGTATCTATGTTTATATTAAAACTGCACTTTTTTTGGGAAAAGACATTGGGAGTTATTCTTGACAGCACCAACATCAAATAGGCTTCCTCCTATTTTGGTATACTATAGTAGGCAGGATGGGAGCAGATCTGTCACTGTAACCGCTGAGATTCGTTTGATCTGTTGGAGTTTACGTTAGACTGTGTAAAATCAAACGTGCTCTTCTGATAAGCCCTTTGAGGAAGCTCAGGTAGAGCAGCATTGAAAATCTCACTTCCTTTTTCTGTACGACTCATAAATGAAGAGTCAGCTGGTGTGGCCTGTTGCCGTTCTTGGGACTTAATAAATAAATAGAAGCAGAAGGATAAAGAGACGGAGGCATTTTCCTGCCTTTCTTCTAAAAATGAGACATTCTCTCCTAAACGCTACAGACATAAGACATGCCTTTCTGTACAATTACAATTTATTTTTTTTCAAAAGCAGCAATAGCCCACTTAACAAACCTGAGCATAACTAGATATGACTGTACAGAGTAAAGAAAGATTTTTTTTTACATTAAAAGCAGGAGAAAGGTAGATTTTAAATAGGAAAAAAAAAGTAAGGAAATGCAAGGAAAGTTGATTAAATTAATCGACTCCCTTTTAAATGGTAATCAATTTCCACTCCCTTTTCTTTTAATTGGTACTCAGTTGTCAACAAGTTTGTTTGAATTGAAAGGAGGCACGGGGAGGAAGTAGGTGGGAGGGGAACTGAGCACATATAAGACCAAGTTTTTCCAAGCCGGTTTATAAAGAATGGAAAAGTGAATGGTGTAGTCAGAATCCCTGACATTCTTCACCTGACAGACCTGATTTAATCCAAGAATGGGACAGTGGCTTATATCAGAAGCTTGTTATTTTGAGAAATAAACCAAGGACTAGATTCAGATGCAATGCTCAACAAAACATAGACTGGGGGCTAAAGACGTTTGGCTTTTTCTGCCAAAGGGACTAACTAGAAACAAACAGGAGTATGCCGAATGCATCCGTGCTCTTGCTCATTCTGGACAAGCTAGAATGCAGATGAATTCTGGCCTAAATTTGACACATGGTTGTCCCCAGATGCCTCCTTTTGGGGGGGGGGAATGCACACATAAAAAATAAAAATAAAATATCTCCACGCAGATGCTGTTTTTCAGGGGGGAAATAATAAAGTCAGCTTAATCAGCCCAGTGGAAACTTCACAGCGGGGAAAAGAAGGAATTCTCCACTTCTGGTGTCAACTTCGGGTGGAATGCGGGAAGAGGAACACCAAAGTCTAGGAAAGAAAAAAAAAACAACAAGACAAAAAAAGTCAGTTTAAAGTAATATAGTTGAACTACAAAGAATCAAAATGGAGGGGAAAATTCTGAGTCACAAAGGAGGGTGTATTTCTTTCAGGATTAAGGTAGAACCGTTGGGTTAAAATGTCAGGTAATAGCCCCCTCTCCCCACCTCTCATGGATTTAAAATAATTTTTCGGACTATAAGGCACACCAGAGTATAAGACGCACTTTAGTTTTTGGGGAGAAAAATAGCTGATTGGCGGGTGGATCGGCCTCCTGGAATATCCCCAATCGGCTGTTCCCAGAGATTAATTTTAGCAACAGATTAGTTGGTTGTGAGCTCTGTGCCTTGCTTTTTTTTCTGCCCCTGAAACCTCTGTTTGGGAGGCTTTTTTTCTGAAGCTTCGTTTCGGAGGCTTTTTTTCTGAAGCTCTGTTTCAGAGGCTTTTTTCTGAAGCTTCATTTCAGAGGCTTTTTTTCTGAAGTTCCATTTCAGAGGCTTTTTTCAGCCTCTGAAACCTCCGTTTCAGAGGGAGGGCGGGGCTACATTCAGAGTATAAAACGCAGCCAGATTTTCACCCTCTTTTTTGGGGGGAAAAGGTGTCTTATACTCCAGAAAATACGGTAAGTTTAGTCATTTTGAAGGTCTCAGGAAAGCCTTTTACAAAATGGAAGCCATTAAAATAGTTGGAGAAATTATTACGTACATACTTGTAATATCTGATACATTTGCATCTCAGTCAAAACTGAGAGACGACCCCAGTATTATTTTAAGGATTTTTAAACTCCTTCCTCTATCCATAAATCAAATTGAGGAACTGTTGCATTAATGAGGGGAATACAATTTAAGACCTAGAACTAGTCCTTCCATAACAAGAAGGAAAAAGAGGACTCTCAGATTAAGTTTTTCTTCCTCTTTCCAAAATTTCATTACCAAGATTCCCCATGGCTGTTAGCACTCACCCATTTCCCCATCCAAGCGACTGGTTGGAGAGGGATTTTTGCGGTGGTCTTCAATATGCTGGGTCATCTCCTCCCGAGAGGCTGTGGAATAGGGGCACTGTAAGCAATTATAGCGACCTCGGGTGTGTTCCCATACAATGCGGCTGTTGGAGGAGTGTCCTGCAATGGAAAGAAGAAGCTGCAAATCCAGTCAACTGGTCAGTTTCCTGATTCCCAAACAATTGTAGATCTAACTACTCTTGTGAAAAGATGACTAAAGGAACTCTGATGGCTTAGATGAATTTTGCATGTGTTATCTCTTTTGAGATATTGTAAAGAACTGATAGAGGATAAGAGGAAAACAAAGGTACTTTCAAAACAAGAAGATAATTCAGAAAATTACAGATCCTGATAGCTGGGAAGATTCTACAGCAGATCATAAAACAATCTGGAAGTACTTTTGAAACAACATAGAGACTGTTAGACCAACATGGATGTGTAAAAAAATAATTTTCTTTAGTAATTTTTTTTTACTTTTATTTTTATTTATTTTTATATGCCGCCCTTCTCGGGAGACTCAGGGCGGCTTACAATGCGTTAAGCAATAGCCTTCATACTTTTGTATATTTATATACAAAGTCAGCTTATTGCCCCCACAAACCGGGTCCTCATTTTACCCACCTTAGAAAGGATGGAAGGCTGAGTCAACCTTGAGCCTGGTGAGAATTGAACTCGCAGTAATTGCAGGCAGCTGGATGTTAAATGCTGCCTTAGTAGGAGGCATTAGCCTCCTACGACACTCAGGCTCCTAAATTATGGGAATTTAGTAAAATATTGATTTCAGTGCTACATTTGACAGAATATTCCATTATATTCTAAATTGGGTAATTGAGGCCCTGATTAGTGTGACAATTAAATGGAATACATACTGGCTTCTAAAATTATTCATCGATTGTTTCTACTCAGATGAGAGATATAAAAGGAAATGCTACAAGGTTCAGGCCTACACCCGTATTCGTCCGTGTTAAATTCATGATTTAAATATGGTCTCAAGTAGCTATGACTTAACAGTGGCATCTCTTCCCCCACCCCCATTTAACATAGCAAAATGCTGGACATTAATGCGCAACTCCGAAAGGGGTTGACACCAGCCTTATGCAGAGTAAATTTAGAGCAGGAACGGCGGAATCACAGATTATATTGAAAAATGGAACATGACAGCTGCTCACCTTGGCTTTTCTTCCACACAGCATTGGAAACAGGGAGGCCTTGGCCTGCTGGCAAGAAAGGCCTGAGGCGGTTCTGCACTGCAGCTTGAGGTAAAGCATAGGACGTGGAGTGCATATAGGGCAAGAAGGGCCCTGAAACTGAAGGGTGCGGTGGCCCAGAGAATTTTGCCAGGGAGGGTGGCCCAAACAGGGATTGCTCCAGCAGAGGATACGTAGGAGACGTTGGCAATGGCCCAGATTCTAAGGGGCCAGGAAGTCCCGCCGGAAGCGAGTGAGTGGCCAGAGGAGTGTCCATTGTGCCAGGGAGAAGAGCTTCTTTCTTGAAGTGCTGTATGACGCTCTGGAGTTTTGGAAGCTCCTCCAGCAATTTCCCTGGTGGCTCTTTTTCCAGGCCAGAGCTAGGTGGAAAGATGGGTTTCTCTGAAGTTAGGGCTGGGGAAGTGGCGGTGTTGGTGTTGGCATCGGAACAGCTGTGCAAGTGCTTGAAGAGGGAGCGATGTGTTCGGAAACGTGACATGCAGTTCTCACATCTGGAGGGAATGAAAACAGAAGAGCCTAAACAAAGCATTCAGCACTGAGGTTCCAACAGGCTTATCAACTATGGCATTCTCATTCCCTGCTGAGCGCCAGGCCCATGTTTGCTTTCTGAAGTTGATGAGATATCCAGAAAATGAGGACTGTCAAATTTTGACAAATTTTGGTGGGAACTGGGGAATCACTTTATTTCTATTCCACCTTTATAATTTTTACTAATCACTCAAGATGGTGGATATATCCAACCTATTTTCCTCCTCTTACTTTCCCCACAACAATCCGGACCTTTCGTCGGGCCCTAAAAACTCATCTCTTTCAGTTAGCCGGTCTCTCTTGATTTTATGATTTTATGGTTGGTTTTAAATTTTGATATGGATTTTAAATTGATAAATTTTAAACTATGGGCCAAATTTAATTATTTTAAATCTATTTTTAATCGTATTTATGTATAAATGTTTTTATTTTGGCTGTTCACCGCCCTGAGTCCGAAAGGAGAAGGGCGGTATAGAAATTTGAATAATAAATAAATAAATAAATAAACAATCCCATGAGGTGGGTTGGGCTAAGAGAAAGTGAGCCAAAGTCACCCAGGTGGCCTTCATGGCTAAGGCGGGACTTGAACTCCTCCTCTCCTGCTTTCTAGCTAATACTGGACCCATTAGACCAAATTGGCACTTAGAAACAGTGCTGTCCTGGGCATAAGCAAAAACGGGGAGGGGGTTTGAAAAATGGTGGACATAAGTGAGAGGAGAACAGAGATCTGAAAAGAAGATCTTTTCACTGAAACCATAATAGTCTCGTAAACCTAAAGTAGCTCTTATACACATTATCCGAAGCTATGAATTATCACTAAATCTGTTTGTATTATTTTGAGGCCTATTAGAAACAAAGAACAACGTGCCTGACATAATTGGTAAACTTGTTTAGATTCACTGAAGAGTTTAGGTCTGCTTCAGCTAGTTCCAGGCTATTAGCCAATTATAGGCTGGATTTGCACAACTTCCTCAACCAGGATGCAAACCCATTCACTACTGTTTGTAAACCAAATGCTTGGTACATTGTGGGATAAGCATAGAATCTACAGCTGGTACAAAGGCAGTGATGGATGTATCTCAATAAATTCAAAAGCTCCTCGATGGCAATCTGACAGGGATGCTGGCCTAGATTCTCAACCTTAGCAACTTTTAAGATCTGTGGACTTCAACTCCCAGAATTCCCCAGCCTAGGTGATCTCCAAGATAATTTCTACTCCTTATTTTCTATGTGGACTGGAGTGGCACGGTGGCCTACAGATAGAGGTCTTGCCTCACAATCGGGAGCCTGTGAGTTCGATCCTAAGTAGTGGCAGCTATTTCACTCTCTGGGCACAATGAACTCCCTGTAGGCGACAGGAAGGGCATCCAGACAGTAAACGCTTGAGCTCCATTCAGTCTCTTTTCCCCCCCACCCCCTAATTCCACACTGATGCAAGGAATTACAGGAGTCATTAAAAGAAAAAAAATCTATGTGGGCTCTGTGGACCTTATATTCTGCCTTAGACTTCATCTGGCCCAATTCCTTCTTTTCCCCTTTAAGGCTGGTTTCTCTTTGCCCAACCATTTTGGGAGCCTCTAACCTGTAAATATTCATGGGAGGATGTTTGCTTTGATTCACAAACAGAAAGCCAGGGTGGGCAGAATCAGGACTGACCTTTATGCCTTATTGAAGGGGACTATTTGGGGAGGGTGATCTAGTCTATGCTGGTTGTAAGGACAAAAAGAGTTCTTTCAGTTCAGCGTTTTTCCAACCTTTGAAATTTCAGGATGTGTGAACTTCAACTCCCAGAATTCCCTGACCAGCTGGTCGGGGAATTTTGGGAGTTGAAGTCCACACACCTTAAAGTTGCAGAGATTAGAAAAACGTATTGATTGGAGTTCCCAAGTAGACTTGCTCTCTGTTACACTCGTCTTTTGAATCCCCCTCAGAGTCGCATAGATGTTTATCCTAACAAAATTCCTAAAATGCAGATTAAGCCGACAGTGAACTGCCCCAGATTCAGTTGCCAAGTTTTATACTGTATTTCACTGGGGGATTCAAAGACATGAGAAAGAGAAGAGCTAATTGGAGAGAGACCTATTTCATTCTGACACTTCGCTCCATCCCTTTCCAGAGAATTTGTTAAAAGAAACATACATGTTTAACGACGATAAAACGAAGGAGGCTCTTACTTGAAGTAGCGGTTGGGCTTGTAATGCACCTTCATGTGACCCATCAGGGCTTGCATGTTGGGGAACGATTCCAAGCAAGCCTGAGTGGAACAGCGGAATGTCTTTCCTAAGAGAAACCCAGCAGTTCAGTGCATCTGTAGCTTTATTCATTGACTTATTAAATGTTCCAATAGAAGAGAGTTCTCTGCAGCTGTAGCTCAGGTTGAACTATAGAATCCTCCGCGCTTTCCGAGCTTGGTTGTTTGCTTGCAGCCGTTTCATTATCCAGCTGGGTAAAATCGTCAGTACAAGGGAGGATGGGTTTTTTCCCCTATTTAGACAAACTAAATTTTCCCTGCATGGCAAATCCAACATTCCCCTGCACTGATGCTGTTACCTAATTGGATAATGAAACGGCTGCAAGCAAACAACCAAGTTCAGAAATCACCAAAGACTCCACATTTATTTATTTATTGGTTCGATTTATATGCCGCCCTTCTCCGGAGACTCAGGGCGGCTTACAATGCGTTAAGCAATAGCCTTCATACTTTTGTATATACCTGCTTAGTAGGGCTTTCAGGCCCCCCCCTAAGCGGTGTTCTTTTTTATACAAAGTCATCTTATTGCCCCCACAATCCGGGTCCTCATTTTACCTACCTCGAAAGGATGGAAGGCTGAGTCAACCTTGAGCCTGGTGAGATTTGAACTTGCAGTAATTGCAGGCAGCTGGCAACTAAGTGCTACTTAACAGCACTTTAGGCTCTTCAATTATTATTGCGCCACCAAGGCTCTTCAATTTATTAAATATTTTTACCATCTTGATTCCAAACAGCTCTGGACAATTTACAAAATGTAAAAGAAAGACCCGTTTAAAACAAGAAAACAAAATAAAACAAAAAAACCCAGCAAACATGGTTTCCAAATGGAAACAAAGAAGAAGAAAAGGGAGCTTCAATCATGCTTGCAAAGACTTGAGTGAACAGTCAGGGCTTTAATTAGAGACTTATTTCTTCCAGTCCAATCAGCCTTTTGAGGTAGCCTAGACAAGAATCAACAGCCACAAATACCAACACTTACCTTTATGATAAAAGTTACAGTAACAAAATCTTGCAAGTCTAAAAGTACCCCTCTCCTTCCTTACTTTTAGTCTCTCAAAAACTAGGGAGGATCCCTTCTGAGACACTTTCTCAGTCAATCAGAACAGAGCTAGAAGGGACCTTGGAGGTCTTCTAGTCCATCCCCTGCTCAAGCAGGAGACCCTATACAATTTGAGACAAGTGGCTGTCCAGTCTTTTCTTAAAGACCTCCAGTCATGAAGCACCCACAACTTCTGAAGGCAAGCTGTTCCACCGGTTAATTGTCCTCACTGTTCGGAAGTTTCTCCTCAATTCCAGGTTGTTTCTCTCCTTGATTACTTTCCATCCATTGTTTCTTGTCTTGCCTTCAGGTGTTTTGGAAAATAGGTTGACCCCCTCTTCGTTGTGGCAGCCCCTCAAATATCACCCCTTTTTTGAACTCAGATGTCACTTATTAAACCCTCGCCTAGACTGGGACTCTTCTTCCTATCTCCCAATTTTATTCCCCCAAGTCTCAAATTTCTTGTCCAGACCTTAGTTTGCGGAAGGAGAATTTCAAACAGTTTATAAATACGATGATCCAGAAGATGGCAGCACCTGAATGATGTTGGCTGATTTTCAACAGTACACAGGATCAGGCTTAATTAATTCTTAATAGAAGGCCATCAGGAAATCTCAGAAAAAAAGTTTTGCCACAAGGGCGACAAGGACATGGACATATGGTCACCAGAAGTAGAGTTCAACTTGAGGGTGGCTATTTTTAAAAACATGGTGGATTTCTCCATTGAAGTCATTCCTCATGTGACTTTATAAATAAATGTGTTATGGAACATTTTATCATAAGTTGACGGATGGGCTGTCTTTCAGGTAGAATTGGAGGACAGATATTGCCTTATGAACCCTGTTGATTAAATCAAGGCTCTATTCAATCATAGCATGGATATGGAGGGGATATGCAATAGTATAGAATTTTCGTGGCACTCTTGAACACCCCCAAAAAGTATCTGACTGGCTACTTTTGAAAACAGAATACCTGTGAATGCTGCATTTTTTAATAGATGTCCTTTGTAAAGCTATAGCTTTACACAAACTATAGCTGTCATTAAGAAGTTGTGCAAAGATGTCTCGGTGGCCATGTTTAATATAATAAGTTTCACTCAGCAGCAAAGCTCAGGCTTTGCATGCAGACATCTGAGTTCTAAACAATTTCAGTTACAAAAATCAGAGTTAACAGGGTAATGAAATGTGCAACAGAACGGAGGGAAAACTGCCGGTCAAAGGAGTTGATGAAATTCTACGCATCACATGTTTAGGGGGCATAAATGAAGCAGACAAATCCCACACCCCCTTTGCCTTCCTCCACAGCCGTCTTCCCTCCTTTGCTGGGAAGAACAGAGAAGGAGGATACTTCCATTTTCTCCACAAGAGAAAAACCACAGTGAAGGCTTCTGCACCCCTGGCTTAGTTACACACAAATAAGACTGATATAAAAGAATGAAAGGGCAACCCTTTAGGCTCCTATCCTGCAAAATTCAAGAACGAAGGGAAGAAGGAAGCACAATTTTTCATGGTCTCCCCCTACTCTTCCTCTTCTCCTGTACTACCCACCCGACCCCCAACGACAAGTTTGAAAAGTCAGCCTTACCCTCAAGGGACTCCGTGGGCCGATAGTGGACCTGCATGTGGTCAAGAAGCTCCTTCATGCTGCGGCAGGCCAGCCGGCAGCCGTCCCCTGAACACTGGTAACGTTTCCCTGGAATAGGCAGAAAGAACAGGAGGAGGAATGCTTTCCCTAGGAACTCTGTAGGAGCCTCCAGAATGCCTGCTGATTAAGGGAGCCACGGGTGGACTTGGGAGTTGAGCTGATCCTGGGCTCGTGTTTCTAACCGGTATCACAGATGCGAACTGGCCTGAGGGTCCAGACAGCAGTTTTCCCAGCCTCAATTTTGCCCTTCTTTAATATACGAACAAAAGTGGCTTCTCTTCAAGTTAAAAATCGTGAAGGATTTTGCAAATTAACTTGCCTGGAGTTCTTAAAATACCAACCCAGGATGTGAAAGTATAGTTTATAATTTGCTTCCGGGTCCAATTCAAGGTGCCAGTTGTCGCCATTGAAGCCCTACATGGCCTGGAGTCAACAGGTTATTTGAAGGACCGTCTTTTCCCAGTTATGTCTACCTGACCCACCAGAGCAGAGAGGCAGGGTATGTTATGGGTCCCCTCCATCTGGTGGGACCAAGAAGGGCCTTTTCTGTGACAGCTCGCTCTCTGTGGAACATCATCTCTGTGGAAAAAGACTGCCCCTCCCTCCACTTTCACACTCTTTTAAAAGGTCCCGAAGACATGACTTTGCCAAAGGACCTGGGGACCTCAGGGTAATATGGAGCCCCCGCAACAAGTGGTTGGTTTAATTGCTTTTGCCAGGGGATTGGGTTCTACTTCTTAAGCTGCCCAGAGTCATTATGAGTGAGTGAGGCAGCCATATACATTTTCTAAATAAAATAGATGATTGACAGATGATAGATGATAGGCAGACAGAGTACTATAAAGATAAGCTTGGCTTATTGGTGAGAAAAACTGCCAAATATGATATACACAAATTCTCCAGCAGGGCTGCAAGGACGCAAGAAGACATGACTTCCTGAGAACTTTTCAACACACGCAGGAGAAGAAATAATAGCAATAGCACTTAGACTTATATACCGCTTCACAGTGCTTTACAGCCCTCTCTAAGCGGTTTACAGAGTCAGCAAATTGCCCCCAACAATTTGGGTCCTCATTTTACCCACCTCGGACGGATAGAAGGCTGAGTCAACCTTGAGCCTGGTGAGATTTGAACTGTCAAATTGCAGGCAGCCGGCAGGCAGCAGAAGTAGCCTGCAGTACTGCACTCTAACCACTGTTTTTTTTTTTTGTTGTTGTTGTTTTGTTTTTTTCTTTAATTTATATGCCGCCCTTCTCCGGAGACTCAGGGCGGCTTACAATGCGTTAAGCAATAGCCTTCATACTTTTGTATATTTATACAAAGTCAGCTTATTGCCCCCACAATCTGGGTCCTCATTTCACCTACCTTTGAAAGGATGGAAGGCTGAGTCAACCTTGAGCCTGGTGAGATTTGAACTTGCAGTAATTGCAAGCAGCAGATGTTAATAACAGTGCTTAGTCCACTGTACTACAGGCTCTTATAGTACTACTGTGCTACCGTGGCTCACATAATGTTAAGTTAAGGAAACAATTTCACAAGTAAACAAAGGCAGACCTCTCTGGAGGCTGCCATTCGTGTCATCGGGAGTCATGAATCCTTCTCACCCTTTCAATGTTTCTCTACCAAAACAAGAGAGAGTGAAAATGACTGAGAGGCGATAACAGAAACGCAGCCTCAAATGTACCTGCGGTAGGTCTGCGCTTTGGGAGCTGCAGATCCTGGTTTCGAGTACTGCTACCCCCACTCCATGCTGGCTGTGTCTGGCTGCCCAAAAGCCCTGGATTGTTAGAACCTGGGAATCAAGAAAAGCAAAATGGGATAAGAGGAGGGCATTTTAAGCGAGGGGGTTGCAGCATCTTAAAAACTAGCCAGGTTTTACAAACCGCAATCGCCAGCTAAGGCTTTGAACCCACCATATTCTCTTATAGTAGCAGCTCAGTTCAGCCCTTTGTCTCTTTCCTTCCCTCTCCAACTGTATTTACCCTCCGATGAAGATGTGAGAGATGTCACCGATGGCACTTCCTCCTTCTCAGCCGAGCTTTGGATGTGAGGGGGTGAAGCTCTGAGCTCGTGGTGGGGCAGGGGAACAGCGGTTAGGGCAGGCAGCATTGAAGGTGGCTTCTCCTAGCAAGAGAGGAGGAGATGAAAACCTGTCAGCAAAGAACGTTACAGAAAAGCTCTTGTCTTTCAGCCTCAGTTTCCCCACTGGAAGAAGAGAATTGAAGAACATGTTGCTAAAGAACCTGGTTGTGACCTGCTTGGCCAAATCTCTGGTTTGTGCACTGATCTCTCACTGCAACTACTTCAACTCCCTTTGGTTCTCCACTTCTACCCTTCCGTTCTGATGGCAAAGTCATGCTTCTTCTAAAACGTATGAAGAATGGCTGCAGGATTTGGGTTTGGCTAGTCTAAAGAAAAGAATAATTAGGGGCAACAGGATAGCAGTATTCCAGTATTTGAGGGGCTGCCACAAAGAAGGGGGGGGTTTGTCAAATTATTCTACAAAGCACCAATGTGGCAGGACAAGAAACAATGGTTGGAAGCTAATCAAAGAGAGAAGCAACCTGGAATTAAGGAGAAACTTCCTAACAGTGAGGACAATTAACCAGTGGAACAGCTTGCCTCCAGAAGTTGTGGGTGCTTCAACACTGGAGGTTTTTAAGAAGAAATTAGACCAGGGGTCAGCAACTTCTGGAGCCGCATGTGGCTCTTTCACCCCTCTGCTGCGGCTCCCTGTCATTCAAAATATGTGTCACAATCGCCAATGTGTGACACCCACCAGCATGCGATTTCTTGAGCTTTTCAACCCCAGGTAGGCCAACTATGGATAAATCCAAGAAAATAAAAGTTTCAGAAGAAAACTTCTGTTTTCTTCTGAAACTTCTATGTAGTTTAATTCAACTACGTATGCTAGTTTTGTGGCTGCTCAAGAAACAGTCAGGCACGGGAAGGGTTTTGTGGCTCCCGGTGTTTTCTTTTCTGTGGGAAATGGGTCCAAATGGCTCTTTGAGTGTAAGGTTGCAGACCCCTGGACTAGACAGTCACTTATCTGAAATAGTAGAGGTTCTCCTGCTTGAGCAGGAGAGGTTCTCCTGCTTGAGCTGGACTAGAAGACCTCCAAGGCCCCTTCCAGCTCTATTCTATTCTATTTCCTCTCCAATCCTTCCGTACTGTTCCTGTCCTATAACCTTTGTTCCTCTGGCCGCATCACCCACACTATCACAAATAACTCTACTTCCAGATATATTATCTCTTGCTGCTTCCCAGAAAATAGGTGGTCCTCGCCTAATGACCAACTACTTGGTCAACCATTCAAAGTTATGACAGACCCAAAAACAATACTTATGACCCAGACTTGGAAGTTCCAACATCTGCCTCTCCTCCTGGTCACATGACCGCATTTTCGGCATTCAGCAACCCAGCCTGCATTTATGGTCACCTGTAGTGTCCCAGAGTCATGTGACCATGTTTTATGACATTCCCTCCCCTCCCCAAAACAAGCACTTAATTCCAGTTTCCAGCAAAAAACACCCACTGCAAAAAAAGGGTCCTAAAATCAGGCACAGTCATGTGACAACCTACTTAATGACTTGCATGACATGACCATAATTGTGGGCTCAGTTATGGTCGTAAATCGAAGACTACCTGCATATGCAAATATCTCCTAGAATATGTCTGTGAGGCCGCCTTTCTCCTGTGAAATCATTCCTTCAAATTTATCTTTTATTTTTATTATGTTAATTTAATAGCTGTTTGAGTGCAAAAGAAAGAGAATGGGCAGAAATGAGCAAAAAGAGATTTATGATTGTAAATTATACAGCTGTACTGTATAACCAAAAAACATGTTTTATTCAAGGCTTTTGGCTCCTGCACTCTAAAAGAACTCAGCTGACAGCTAAATCTTGACACGGACAATGAAACAATTGTCGGGCTGCTTCCTAATTTACCATTCTTTTTCAACTTTCCTTCCTCTCTTGATCTCCCAGATCAAATGTTAGATGGTAAGATCCTCAGGAAAAGCACTTGGATAATAAATAACGCAAATTTATGCCATGTATATTATATAAATATATTTACAAATGTTAATAGTAATACCCACCCAATTAACTTGACAGGTGCCACAAGATCCTTTGGGACTGTTATTATTGTCACTTCAAAGTTACTGAGTACATTTCAGAGCTAAGGCTATAAAACACACACACACACACACACACACACACACACACACAGGTGTATATCTTAAGAAGAAATTGGGTGCCCTATTAGATCCATAATCCCCTCTCTAGACCCAAGTCCCATTTCCAGCATTGCTCCTCCAGATGCTTTCCCGAAGCTCAAAAACGAAAGAAAAAGAAAAGGGCTATAGCTTCAAGCAAGAACAGTTTCCATTTACTTTTTATTATTATTATTTTACAATCCACGGCAAGGCACATCTAAATACGTGCAGCGTGGTTTGTAAAGTTTATTACACCAAAGGTTAAAGCAGAAGGAGGAGTTTTGCAAGATCTTCTGCAGACTACAGAAAAAAAACAAAATGTTTTAAATCATTCTAATAGTAAAATAAATAAATATTGCAGCAGAGTGTCCCTTGTTTGGGCCTTTCATTAATTGGTAAGGTTTCGATTATATCACAAATCTCAGAGCAAAGTCTAATCTACAAGAAAGGAGGCAGATGGCTGGGTGTTGGTTGGGGGGGATTTATAAATTAAAAAGCTCACAAGGGCAAAGTATCCATCAATTGACTGGCTGGCTGAAAGGAACGGGAGGGAAAGACAATGCGCTATTCATTTAGGTACCATTTCTATTCTTGCCTTCCGATAAATACATGACTGTAAGCAGACAGGTGGAAAAAGAGTGACTGACATAGGTTTTCTGAACCCATTGATGGAAGAAACGGTTCTCTAATAAGGCCTCCCTAATTCAAGCGAATTCACCAATATTCTATTTTGCATTTTCCTGAGTGGACGGATGGTGGCTCTGCATTACATACTCGAGATCTTCTGGTGTTGGCTACTATTGGGTTAAGGCCTCTTCTTGTTGTGTTTGGAGTATGTTCCTTTGGACTGATTTCTTCCAGATTTGCATTCCATCCCCATGACTCATAACCTACTTGGGGGTGATGGGTGATGGACACCATCCCTATGCAAAGATAGAGAAAAGTCAAACCGTCCGTTTTGAGGAACACCATGAACTGGGACTGACTACTATAACTCTTTCTTACAGGCAGTACCCTTGCCCTGCTTCTGAAAATCTTCATCCAAAACAATATAAAGCACGGGTGAAATGCTCCCGGTTCGGACCGGATCACCCGATCTGGTAGCAATGGAGGAGGGTGGTTTGGAGAATCGGTAGCAAAAATCCCTGCCCCCCCCCACACACACCCATTGCCCAGCTGAGCTGCACAAATATCAGAGGCTTTTTTTTTTAATTTTTAAAAACATTTTTTCTACAACCTCTTTGGCCGAAAAAATGCTTTTAAAAGTAAAAAAAAAAGCTTCTGATGATCGTGCGGTTCAGCTGGGATCGTTTAAAAAGCATTTTTTCTACAACCTCTTCAGAGGTTGTTGAAAAAATGCTTTTAAAAGCCACTGAGGATCCAAGCTGAGTTGCCTGATCGGCAGAGGCTTTTAAAAGAAAAAAAGCCTCTCAGGCAACTCAGCTGGGACCGTCAGAGCCTTTTGAAAGCATTTTTTTATAACCTCTTTGCCGAAGAGGTTGTAGAAAAAATGGTTTTAAAAGTAAAAAAAAAAATGGCCATGCCCACTGTCACATTACACCCCCCCCCAGCAAGCCACGTCCACAGAACTGGTAGTAACAAATTTTAGATTTCACCACTGATATTTATTTATTTTATTATTTATTTTATTTTATTTATTAAATTTATATACTGCCCTATTCCCGAAGGACTCAGGGCAGTGAACAGCCAGAAAATAAAATACATATAATATAAAGATATGGCTCCTGAGGTTGAAGCTCTTTTCTACTTGCTTGCCAAAAGTCCATGAAGCCTAGTTCCTTCCTTGCCTTTGGTCTAAAGCAGGGGTGGGCAATTAATTTTCCCAAGGGGAGACTGGCATTGTTGTGAAAAGCCTTGGCTTGTGAAGGTGCGTAAGTGCGCACATATGTACATACCTAAACTGGGGGGTGGGGGAGCAGGCGCCTTCAAAATAAAAGCAATACAGTTGTATTGCACGCATGGTGTACACCTATTTACATTTGATTTCTAATTTCCAGTTACCTCATGTGGAGCGGACAAGGACAGTCAAAGGGCCAGATGTGGCCCAGGGGCTGTAAAAGACCCTTCCCTATTCTTTAAAACAAAGTGTATCCTGCAAGTTGCAAATTGCATCCCACATAAAATATTAAATACTGCAATTTCAAGAAAGAAATTAGAAAAGAAATCCAGTTTGAGGTAGTGGTTAAGGCAGGGGTGTCAAACTCGGTTTCACTGAGGGCCACATCAGAGTTGTGTTTGACCTTGAGGGGGAGGGGGGACTGGGGGGGGGTCCCCAGGGTAGGCATAGCCAGCATGACATCACTCATGTCAGGGGGGGGGGCGTGGTAGCCAGAGCACTCTGCCAGCAAAAATGGAGTTTGGGGGTGGGGATGGGCTGCTCCCGAACTCTATTTTCGCTGGCGGAGGTTGCAGGAGGCAGTCGCGGCCGAAAACTGAGCCTGGGACGTTTTTGCTGGCAGAGGCACCGCAGGCTGGTCCTTGGCTGTCTCCCCACGGGCCAGATCTAAGCACCCCATGGGCTGGATGCGGCCCACAAGCCTCGAGTGATGCCCTGGGTTAAGGCATCAGTCTAGATTAGAACCCGGGTGGGTTCTAATCCCAATTAAGGCACAAAGCTGGCTTGGTGATCCTGGGCCAGTCATTTTCTCTCAGCCCTAGGAAGGAAGCAATTTTTCTGCCAAAATCTTGCTAAAAATACGGTACTTATACAGACTATCAAGAATCAAGACTGACTCGAAGGCATAAATCAATTCATGAAACCTCTACAATGAGGTATTCTTTGATCTACTGTATGTTAGCTATAGGGAGAAAAGAAGAAGGGGAGAACAAACTAGTTTTTAACAAGCGCTCATCCTAACCACAGCAATTGAACTTCTGAAGTAATGAA